TGTTTTGTAAGCTCTCCTTTAACGCACCCACTACTCATCTGTGCAACACATGCCACATTGTCTTCATATAGGACAATGGGGAATCAACGTTGCTCATTATACCACATTAGCTATGGATATGCTGTATCAATGACCTCAACCATACACATTCACGTGATTGGACGAGGTAGCAACTAAGGTATGCTTAATGAACCTCCAAGATATAATTGTACCTCCACAAAGGAAAATATAACCAGTATGAGATTTAGCATTATGAGGGTCAAACATATAACCAGCGTCTGAGTAGCCCGTTAATGTAATGTCCTAGTTATTTTCAAAATAAAGACCAAGACCTTTTGTACCTTGGAGATATTTAAAGATATGCTTTACTTTACTCCAATGTCTTCTGATTGGAGAGGCACTAAACCTAGCAAGTAAATTCACCGAGAAAGGAATATCAGGTATAGTGCAATTAGCCAGATAAAGCAAGGCTCCAATAGCACTTAGCTTCAGGTCCTAGTGTATCCTCATCATCCCACTTAGGTCTAAATGGGTCTTTGTCCGTTTCAAGGGGCCGAACTACCATAAGATTGCTAAGGGGATGAGATTTATCCATATAAAATCTCTCGAATAGTTCATTAGTATAGTTAGACTGGTGAATAAAAACTCCATCAGGGAAATGCTCGATTTGCAGGCCGAGAGAAAACTTGATTTTACCCAAGTCTTTCATTTTAAATTCTGCATTTAAGCATGAACATGTTTCAAGGTCCTTGTTTGTCCCAGTAATGTTTATGTCTTCGACATAGATAAATTAATACAAAAATCATTAGATGACTTTTTAATAAAGATACAAGGACAAATATCATTTTTAACATATCCTTTTTTCAAGAAGAATTCACTCAAATGGTTATACTACATTCTACCCGATTGCTTCAAACCATATAATGACTTCTGAAGTTTGATGCTATACATGTTTTGATCTATCTTCTCACTCGCATTGGGGTTTTGAATGACTTTGGGTATTTTCATGTATATATCAACATCTAGTGAACCATAAAGATAAGCTGCACTACATTCATCAATTGCATATCTAATTTCATGTTATAGTGGAACGAAGTGCCATCAATAATAGGAGAACATGTTTGCTCAAAATCAATTTTGGGTATCTACGTGAACACCTAAGCTACCAATCTCTCTTTATATCTAACCACATTATTGTATTCATTACACTTCCCTACGAATACCCACCTAGATCCTACTGGGATCACACCTTTCGAGGTAAATATAGTGGGACTAAACACTTTTCTTTTATTGAGCAAGTTGAGCTCTCCCTCTATTGCCTCTTTCCACGTTAACTAGTTAGAGCGCTTCCGGCACTCTGTTATTGATTTTGGTTCTACATCCAGATTATCACGTGAAATATTAAAGGTAACTGCATAGGCAAATGTGTCCCCGACAACTATTAAAGCTATGTTATTTGTTTCTCCCGTATCAACAAAATGTATGTTAGTTTCAATATTAATATCATCTAGATCATTATCATTTCCTAAAATATTCTGATCTGGATGTTCCGATTCCCAGTGTTCATATTATTTGTAGCACATGGGGGTACATTTGGTTCTCCATCTTCATGACGGTTAAAATCTTTTTGGAGTAATTGAGATATTTTACCAACTTTGATTTTCCACAGATTTAAATTGTTTGCATCAACTGGTCTCCCGTGCTTCTAGCGATGGGGAGTATCAATGTGCATACTTGGTCCCTCAGGGACTTCTACTCTCGAAGGAACATTCATAGTAGGGATATGGGACCTAGTCACTCCTCTATTATCAGCAAAAGCATCTGGCAAGTTATTTGCTAACTTTTACAAATTAATAATTTTCTAAACTTCCAGCTCAGTTTGACTAGTACATGGGTCTAGCCATCTAGGTACTTAAGATCCTTTTCGTCCCATGAAATTTCTTGGCATTTCGTTAAATAAAGTCTTTTTATCTCCCCTAATGCTGGGAAATGATCTTCATCAAAGATGCAGTCAGCGTACCTCGCAGTAAATTGATCTCCTGTCAGGGCTCAAAGTATTTAATGATAGGGGGATATTCATAACCAACATATACCTAGTTTTCATTGTAGTGGTATAGGAATATAGACTGCACACTCGAATACGCGCAGGTGGGATGTATTGGGTTTTATGCCACGTAGTGATTGCAAGGGAAAATAATAATGATATGTAGTCGTTCGGGTTTGTATTAAAGCTGCAACATGTAATACCGCATGTCCCCAACAAGAAATCGGTAAACCAAACTTCTCTAATAATGGTCTAGTAATTGATTTAATGCGCTTAATTAGAGATTCAGCTAAACCATTTTGAGTGTGGATATAAGATACATGGTGCTCCACTTTGATGCCCAAAACCGTACAATAATCATCGAAAGCAGCCATGTGAATTCTCCAGCATTATCCATTCTTATTGATTTAATCAAATAATTTGGGAACTGGGCATTCAATTCAATAACTTTTGCAATAAATTTAGTGAAACGTTTGTTCCTCGTGGATAATAGACTAACACGAGTCCGATGAATGGAAACATCAATAAGGACCATAAAATGTCTAAATGGCCAAGAAGGTGGATTAATCGATCCACAAATGTCGCGATACAACCTTTGCAGAAAAACAAGTGATTTGTGTCCAACGGTCCAACCTTAGTACGTGACAAGCGTACAATATATTTACCTTTCGCACAAGCAACACATGTAAACATATTTGGCAAAAGTACATGGGATCTCGAAAGGTTGTGTCTAGCAGAATTGGATATGATCCGACCCATCATATTCTGCCCAGGATGATTCAGACAGCCATGCCACTACTGAAAGTAATGTGAACTTTTGAGTTTCATGGTTAGTGCAACACACAGATTACTAGGTCATATATAGGAATAATATAACCTAGAAGATAAAGAGGCAAGTTCTTCAACCATTTGATCAAATATCTCTGAAACTCAGCAAGGTTCGTTTAGATTGGGGGTACAATAAAGCATTTCCAATCAGTAGCTCTATACCCTTATGGAGGATAATAGAAGCTCTCATGGAGTCCACTACCTGTACCTCATCATTAGTAATGGTAGTAATATTACTATTCGTCTTGGTCAGGGTACGACAATTGATGACTGCGGGTTGAAACGGTCCTTTAGAGACTTCCATAATTCTAAAGGGTCATTTTAAGTCATGTATTCATTTTTCAGATTGTGGTTCAAGTGGTGACGTAAGAAAATGAAAGTCTGTCTTCTTGGCGTTGCTACTTTGTGATTTAGCAACAATGGATTGGTTCAATTCTTTAAACACGAGATGTATCTCGATGTCTAAAGCCGAAGTTAAGTAGTTATTTTTGTCAAGGGCGAGCTTAATAAATTTTCATTTGGCAATAGAAGACATGATGTAGATATACGAAAACATATTGTTCATGTAAATTATACTTACGGAAACAACAGTTGATATTTATCACCACTTTTGCCTCCTGCGTAACTATTTTTTGTTGGCCACATAGTGTATAGTTAATTGTGGGGCCATGCCAAAAAGTTAACATGCATATTCCACAATGTATCCATGCTTGCGTGAAGTAAATGCTATGCAAAGTAAATTCATTGTTTCGGCAAATTATGTTCTGCAATCGTGTGCATCATGCAGAGTTCATACGGGTCTAGATTCATAATTTTTATACTGTAGATTTATAATTTCTATATTGCAGATTCATAAAATCTATACTAATTCATAATTTTATAAATATATGCTCATAATTATAGAGCTATTTGTTCATAATTTTTTTATGTTCATATTTTCAATTGTTGAACTCTGTATTCACAAATCACATAACTATATGTTCATAACTTGATAACAATACAGTTTAGAAATTATAACTCTACAGTACAGAAATTATATATGAATCTACAGTACAGATATTATGAATCTGCAGTATAGAAATTATGAATCTACTATATTTAAATTATGAATCTACAGTATAGAGTTTATGAATCTACAATATAGAAATTATAAATCTACAACATAGAAATTATGAATCTAGACCCGTGTGCACCATGCATGGTGCACACGTACGGTTGCACAGCATAACAATCCCATGGTTTTACTATTCGGCTATTTCAGCTTCACTAAATTATACTCCGTATTAAATTCTATGAATTTGTTTGTAAGTTCTTATAAAGATAAATCGAGTCAATTTAACTTAATACTAAATATTATATTGTACATTTATGTATTTCATATTCTTTCACCTGACAATATATTCAAACTTATTTTTAATTTGGCCAATAATTTTGATATCTTTCACTTATTATCTTCGTTTTTAGAAAAGCTTTCACTTTTAATATAAAAAATCTAAAATTCCTTCACTTTTCAACAATTTCACCAAAATTCACCTTATTGCATTTAAATATTTAATGGCATACTAACAAATCACCAAATTTCGCCGTATTGCATATAAGGACATACTAATTTTTTGTTTTTTTTTTTTTGTTTTTTTTTTTGTTTTTTTGTTTTTTTTTTTTGTTTTTTTTTTTGTTTTGTTTTTTTGTTTTTTTTTTTTTGTTTTTGTTTTTTTGTTTTTTTTGTTTTTTTTGTTTTTGTTTTTTTGTTTTTTTTTTTTTTTTTTTGGTTTTAAAGTAAAACATCTTTCAAAGGTTGAAATTAAAAGTAGAAAAAATCAAATTTAATAAAAGTATGAAAAATGACATTATAGTCGAATAACTAAAAGCAACATAGCATTCAAAAAAAAAAAAACTAAAAGCAACATAAATTCTGCCTCGAATTATGTGACATGTAACAAGTGTCATAATAATCTTTTCATATTCAACGATTTATCTATAATAAACAATTGAGTTAATCTATACCACAGATTTAGTGCAAATAACATTTGGATTCTTTCGATTTTTTGCAACTTGCTTAATTTATGGTAACGAACTTGACTCAGTCAATTTAAATTAAAATCGTAATGTGTCAGTTACCTATTTTACCTGAACAATAGTGTATCGTTGAGCATTATAAAAAGGCCACAGTTTTAGCATTAGAATTACAACAAACAATAAGAGAAAAACAATTTGTATCTGAAGTACTAGAAACTCTTGTCTTTTATTCATGGGAAAGATGTCTACACATGATAGTATCATTGTCATTGCCATAGTAACAATGCTATTGTGCGGCTTTGCTGAGGCAGAGACCTATACTGTTGAAGATAAAGCAAAATGGAGCGATTGGCCAAATGGCAAATCTTTCAAGAGCGGCGATATTCTCAGTATAATAACTTCTCAATTATATTTTACATCAAATTAATTCATTAGCAACTTAATGTTGTTATTATTATTATTATTTTTTTTTATTTTTTTTTATTTATTTTTTATTTTTTTTTATTTTTTTGCAGTTTTTAACTATGACCCTAGTGTCCACAATGTGGTGATTGTGAGCAAGGAAAACTATAATTCATGCACAATTTCTGGAACGATATTAAACTCGGGGCACGACAACGTTACATTGACAAGTGGAACTAACTACTTTATTTGTGGTGCCGAGGGTCATTGTAAAGGAGGGATGAAAATGGCTATCACTGCCACTTGATCAATTGTTATTCATACATATAATATATTTTTAATTAAGCACTCAAATTTCCATGATATGTATTAAAAAATAGATTATGACATGAATAAAGATTCAAATAAAACATAGAAATATTTTGGTTATGTAAAAAACACATTGTATGAGGTATTTAATTATTAATAAAAATGTGTTTTTATTATTTTATATTTATTATCTGCGTGACTTTGTGCCCAATTAATTACTATTCCATTGCGGAAATATTTAAGTAATTTAACTAATTGGTATTGATAAAGTAAATATCAATAATCGTATAAATGAGTAAGTACAGTGTTCGTAAAGTATATATAGTCCCTATTTGTATATCTCTCTTTTTTGCCCTTCTCTAGTGTTATATGGGAGGTATTTATAGAGGTTGTGCAGGTTATATGTTGAATTTTTGACATCTTATCCTCGTGGTGCCTAAGTGTTGGGTAGTCATGTCGGTGACATCTTATCCACGTGGAATCTTAAGGAGTGTACAAAGATTCCTGATGCACGTCGGTGAAGTGTGTCTAAAAATTTTCTGATGCAATATAAGTTAGACCTAGCTAGCCTATAACGAGGACTTGTAATTCTCAGGTGTTGGGTCGGTACAGTTTGGGTAGTCGCAAATTAAACCCTCTCCTTGGTTCATAGATGCCAATCAGTTAGGGTTGAATTGGTTTAAGTTGGACTCATAGGACGGTGCAATATTTCCCCATCAGGTATCTTTAATATACTAGTTTTTTTACACGCTTTGTGCGAATGAGATAATGCTGAATGATTATTTTTAAATAAGTATTTCAAAGTATATCAATGCAATATTATCCTCACAAAAAAAAATGCAATATTGTAGAGGAGATGTTCATGCATAGGTAAATAAATGTTGAATTTTTTTTTATTTAAATCGGTAATTTAAAGTAATAAATGCAAGATAATATATGAGAGATTGATTATAATTGTCACTAAAATAAATGTTTGCAACTCTGTAATAACGCTAGTCTAAATACTTAGTCTAAAAACAATAGTTTAAATAAATACTACTTTTGGTTTAAATTTCTATAATTCTTCTTAATTCTCTTTTAGGTAGCATTGTCATTGCGTTCATCTTCAGTACATGTTCTTTTTTAAAATTGGTAGTGTGCAATCGGGTTACTGGTGGTAGCATAGAGGGATTGAGATTATGATGTAGAAAGCTTTAGATTTGCCTGTTGTGTATATGATTGGATCTTAGTTGTATTATGAACTCTTTATCTTACAAGCACCTATTGATATTTGGTAGTGATAGTTTTTCCCCTAATGTTTCATGCATTGTGAGATGTGTGTCGTAGGTTATCATGTGAAAGTATTGAATAAAATATTAATATTTATTATATTTGTATAAAATACTTGGTAAATAAATATATATAACATATTTTGTATTATAACTTTGATATTTAATTACAAGATAATGTAAAAAGAAGACAATGGACAAGGTAGTGAATATAATAAATTAATAAATTTGAAGGTAGTGAATCTTTGAATTGTATAAAATAAAGATAATATAACTATTGAAATTATATCTCTTTTTAAATTTTTTATAATGAATAATTTTTTTTAAATAAAGGAATTATAGACATCTAATTATAAATTAATTAAATTCATAGGTATTATTTTTTGGTGTAGCTACTAATTTATTAAATTTAATAAGAGTAATAAAGTGGCGTACATACTTTTCATCTTTAATAATGAATTCATTGATTTTTTTTTTTTAATTTCCATTCGTTGTTAGGACAAATGTTTTTGAGAGTTTGTCAATGACAATTGTTACAATTCCTGTCAATAGAGGATGATAATAAATAATTTAAAATATATAGTTATAATCGATATTGTTATAAAGTTATAATGATATAGTAAAAATTAACTTACAAATTTTTTTAGAAGTTTTCATGCATTGATAAAATTCTGATGTGTAAACTTTTTCAATTGGACCCGTGTGATGCCAACATTGTCAATTCTTTGGAAAATGGTCCTATCATTTTAGAGTCCATGTGTAATTGTATTTATGATCAACAACTTTGTAGTTAGGTTGCGCAGGTCTGACAATAATGTAAATAATTTTGTCTGATAAAAAAAATAATAGTATAATATTTATAAAGTAATGTACAATTGTACCATTATAAAAAATACATACAAAAAAATATTAATACCATAACAACCTAAATCATTCCAAGAATACAAAGTATAATTGAGATATTAAGGTTTGTTCTAAATAATCAAAATAAGATTAATTAAACAAAAAAAAATTAAACCAAAATTTATTTTTGGTTATGTATAAGCTCCCATGGCTAGTTTAAAACTTTCTCTCTCTAGCTCCCATGGCTAGTTTTATTTTTCACTTGAACCTGTGACAAGTCTTTCTTGTTTTTGTGTGCCTTTGTTCTACCTTTCTAGACTTGTTTTTCTCATTTCATCATGTTCACTCTGTCTTCCTTCCCCTGTCTTCTCGATGGACAACCATAGCAACGAACCCCATAATGAGAAACCTATCTTTGGTGAACCAGGCTCTTCCATCCAACCACCGCTGAGTCCCCTAATCTTGAGGAAGCATGTGCAGCACTCTCTATTCACGACACTGGTCTGGTTCTTGATGAGGATACCATCTCTGAGGACGAGGATGAGCTTCAGTATGCACTAGTGGGGAGACTTCTCACAGACAAGATTATCAAGTTCAACTTCATGAAAGATATCATGGCAGCAGTCTGGCGTCCGGTGAAAGGGCTGGTGGTGACAAAGTTTTCTTCTAATCTTTTCCTGTTCCAGTTTTTTCATGAGATTGTCATGAATCACGTCCTGGACAATGGCCCGTGGTCTTATGAGAAGAGTTTGTGGGTTCTCATGCCCAATATCTTCCGACACTGCTGCTTCGGATCTCACAAGTCCGTGTGACAATCCAGGAATTCACAACTCCGTGTTACTTTTCTCATTTCCCTTGTTTTGCTTCAAAATAAGTTTTGCCTTGATTCCAACTTTAAGACTTTGTAGATGATCTTCAATGATGCGCTTAGTCTCTTGTAGTTGATGAAGATTCTAAAACTCTTGGATATTTTTTTTGTAAGCTCTGTATCACTCTGAGTGTTTATCTCACAAAGAATATATCAATTTAAGTTCTTGAGATGAAAAGCTTTCTTTGATTTTCATATGCTCTGTTTAGCTCTGTTCTTTTTGCTTCTTGCTATTTTCTTCTACTTTCCACTGCTTCAATCTTCATCTTTTTATAGCTGGTAATGAGAATCCGTCCGTTGGAAAGAAACGTTCTCATTTTTGAATTTTATCTAGCTGTATAGGCTTTTCAGAGGATAAGATAACGTTGCAGATATGTCAGAGATTCTCTGCAAGTTGAGCTTGAGGTTTTCACAAAAATGGCGTCCCAAAAACTTCATCTGGCGTAGATCACGCCTCTTGGGATTTTTATCTTCAAAATATAATCCCAAATTTAATCCCTTAGTAGTTTAGACTAGTATTTTTGCTTCTGCAACTTCTTCTTGTATTTCCTCTGTACTTCACGTGTCTGGGTTTGTCTACTGCTTCCAGACTTCATCTTCTAAATTGAATTGGGAAATCTCTTCCCATGTAAACTCCATCCCTTACTATATTTGGAAGTGAAATCTCATACCTTCCTTGATTTGTCAATTGAAATCTCATCCCTTACTTGATTTGGACTTGCAATTTCATCCCTTGCTATTTATATCTCCAAATGAATTGAAACCCTTTGCAAATCTCATCCCATCAAATTGAAACTTCTGCCCCAAGGGTGAGATACGTGAACTTCATCCCTTCAAATTGGCACTCTCCGACAGCGAGCTTGTTGGCGGACGACGGCGGCAGTTCCTGAGACAGCGACGACACGCCGGAGCATGTGTCCGGTGACGTGCCAGGAGTTTCTGTCCCCAATGATGGTGGCCAACAGTGAAGGTTTAACAATGGTGGAGTCTCCGCCTGCGGCAGCAAGTGACCATGGAGTCAAGTCCAAGGCGTGGAGAGATCTCTACGGCAGCAAGCTCATCGGACGGCGGCGTGAACCCAAACAGTGGTGGGTCGTTGACGTCATTTCGTCTTCTTCATCACCAAGCAATAAGAATGGAGTGGCACAGAGTCAACAACGAGCGCTTCTCACGCATTCTCGCGAGAGCTTTCCATTTCAGAAAAAAATTAATCTCCAAGCAGGTCCTATGTTTTGCAATTATAGTGCGAGAAGACCCAAACAGTGGTGAAAACAGCCGGGAAATCAATTCCGGAAAGGTTCCGGTACACTATTGGTGAAGATGGCGAGCCAAGCAAAGGTAGAAACAAGCCCGAAAAATCAATTTCCAAGTGTTTCTTGCCCAATGCCTCCATTCTTGATTTCTTTGTCCTCCCTCTTATGGTGAAAGCTGTAAAAAATCAAGAAGATAGCATACTGCACAAAAAAAATTTATTACCTTATGAAAAAGATGGCAGCTTGGATGAAGGTTAGTTGCAGGCAGCTCTGTGTCTTGGGTTGAAGAAAAAGAATTTCTGGAGATTATTTATAGTGCTCAAGTTCGTTGGAATGGGAGTATGTTTAGTTTTTATCTCATCAAGTCGTTGCTCTCAATCCTTATCAAATTCATATTTTGCGCGCAGATGGCGGGATTTTGAGAGAAGTGGTAGGATGAAGCTAAGCATTAATTTTCCAGGTGTTGTAAAAAGGAAATCTAATTAAACATTTGGTTAAAACGAAAGGAAGGAAAAGAAAAAGAAATGGGCATTTAATGTGATGTTGGATACACTGTGGGCTCTGAATGTTGGGCTACTATCAAATTTGTATCGTGGGCTACTGCCAAATTGGGCTTCTACATGCAGATATAGACACTTGCGGTCACAAAATGACATTATTGGGTTGCCATCTCCAAATACAGACTCTTGGACTACCACGGATAATTTCGAGACTACCTTCCCTTTGCAGTTAAGGCACGGCAAGCAAATCTCAAAGGGGCAATTTGTAAGCATTGAAAATTTAAATAATATTGTTAGACCGTGGTGGATAATTGATTGCTAAATTAATTACTTTGATTAAGCTAATTGGACTAATATTTATTTAATTGGGTTAATTAAATGGTCCATTAAATAATTAATTAGTTTAATTACTTAATTAAATGTAATTGAATGTTGGATTGTTCGGCCCA